TTTGAAGCGATTTTGAGTTCTTGTTTTGATGTTTACATTTTTCAAAATGCAATATTTGAATTGACTTTAGTGGCATGCAATTGCACCGGGTTGGAGTTGGGCATGTTTGAATTTCGACAATCAGTCGTGAACTATGAGTGTTATTTACCAACTAAAATCGGATTTGGGGTAGTCTGGGTACAAAATAATGAAGAAAAAAAAAAAAAAAATCAAATTTTGACTTCAAAATCCCATTGATATAGAAATCAAATCTTCAATTGATCGGGAGGCTTTGGAGCTCGTCAAAAGCTTTAGTTGAATGTGTTGCGGACTTGCAATTCAACGATTTTGGAAAGTAATATCAGCTAGAATGTGAAACTTCATTGGCCAATATTTGAAAGTAAAGTGTTGTTAAGATAAACATACAGTGAGGATTAGAATTGCATCAGAATGGAAATACAGAAGTCTGAAGTGTGCAACTGATGTTGAGAGCAACTATAACCCCAAAAAATAAAAAGAAAACCAAACAGTAAAAATGAAGTAGATGTGTCAACTATATAACCCCATGGACTGCAAATCATATCACAATTGCCATGATACATTACAAAAATCAAGCCTATATACATCCAAAATCGACAAAACTCAACTGAAACTCAATTTTCTGTTCAAATACATGTCCCACATCATTTACACTATTCTCTGTTCATCAGCGGCCATCGACCATGGTTACTGAAATATTATTCACAGAGCTACTCGTCTGTTGGCTCTGTTGAGAAGAGCTAGCGCCCGATTCTGTACGGCTCGACTTCACGCTAAAAGCTGGGTGCTTCGGCTCGGGAAGCTCCATAGTCTCGCTGATTAGCATTGAGAGAACTGCCGAAACAGATGGCCTGTCTTTAGAAGATTCTTGAGTGCACAATAGCCCTATGTGAATGCATCTCACAATCTCTGAATGGTACTTAGTGTTATATATTCTACGATCTACTAAAGTTGCAACATTGTCTTCATTCCACAATTTCCACACCTGAAAAAGTTCCAATATTGTGTCAAAATGGGAAATTTCTGATTCTAGCTTTTGGTTCAATTATTACAGCTTATTCGGAGAGTTGAGGTTTTTAAGGTGACTCACATGTCCCAAAAGGTTCAAAGAGCCCTCTTGACTGAGGAGACTCGTATTTCGTCTCCCAGTGATAATCTCTATTATCAGAACTCCTAAGCTGAAAACATCTGATTTTTCTGAAAATCTTCCTTCCATTGCATACTCAGGAGCCATGTATCCACTGCCAGTACAAAATAAAAAAAATAAAAATCATAAATTACCTGAAGAAAGCAAACTGTAAACACATGGTCCCATGAAATATGTACACTTACTAGGTTCCAACCACTCTTACAGTGCTGACGTGATCTTGCTTGGTTCCGTATATTCTAGCCATGCCAAAATCTGAAATCTTTGGGTTCAAATCATGATCTAACAATATATTACTAGGCTTGAGATCTCTATGGATTATCTTCAATCTGGAATCCCTGTGAAGATAAAGAAGGCCCCGACAAATACCCTCGATAATGTTGAATCGCATTCTCCAATCCAGGATATTTCTTGATGGGTCTGTACAACAAATCACACGGAAAATCATTAACTTATATTTTGAAATAAAATATGGAGTACATGTATCTATGGGCTGAAATAATAAACCAGAGCAAGAGTATATATATATATATATATATTTTAAACAAGCAAATAAAACTGACCAAATAGGAAAATGTCCAAGCTTCTGTTAGGCAAGTACTCATATATCAGCATCGTCTCTTTATTCTCGATGCAGCCCCCAAGTAGCCTCACAAGATTCCTATGCTGCAGTTTGGAAATAAGCCCGATCTCGTTCATGAATTCTTGAATCCCCTGTCCGGATGCTTTCGAGAGCCGCTTAACTGCAATTTCTCTGCCATTAGGCAGTTCTCCCTAAAATTTCCGGCATTATCAGTATTATTCAGTCAACAAGCCAAAAGTACAAGATTAAGATCAAACGAGAAAAATCAAGCACGAGGGATTACTCTGTAAACGTGGCCAAAACCACCTTTCCCCAGCTTGTTAGCTTCTGAGAAGTAATTGGTTGCAATTGCGAGTGTTTCGAATTTGAACAACGGTAACTCTTCAAGATTGACTTGGTGCATCGCGTCCTGGAGAGTGTAATCGAGTGAACCGGATTCACCTGCCCCTGCAAGTTCACCTGCTCTTCTTTGGCCTAAAATCACAAACCAAACATACACAAAGTGAAAAAGAAGATGGAGCAGAATTTAGTAAACATTCATGTTGATCTTACAAATATATGTAATACCTCTACGTTTAGCTCTCCATTTCCAAGTAAAAAACAGGCATACAGATACCACAACAATGCCAATCACAACCACAACCACTATTATTACAGTCTTCTTATTGTCCTTTTTACCACCTGCAACAAAAGGAACTATAGTCAGATACCAAATGAACAAGAATGACAAACGGGAGCAAAACGAGTGTGGTCCCACACAGGTGAAGCACACCATAAGAGGGTTAGCCCAAATGAAGTTCAAGTGAGGTTCCATCCCAAAACCAATTGATGATGGGAGGAGTAGCCCATTAGGCTTATAAACTGGGCTCATTTACCCTATCAAATCAATGTGAGACAACTCACAAGTGACATTCCAACACGCCCCCTCACTTGTGAGTCCTTCATCAGCCCACGCCTCCAACCAGACCGGGTACATTTTTTAAGCCCACGCCTTCAACCAGGCCGGGTACGTTTTTCAGCCCACACCTACAACCAGGCTAGGTACCTTTTTCATTTATTTATTTATTTATTTATTTTTTTATCGCAGGTCCCAAATTAGGCTTGCTCTGATACCATGACAAACGGGAGCAAAACGAGTGCGGTCCCACACAGGTGAAGTGCACCATAAGAGGATTTTGGACCATGACAAACGGGAGCAAAAAAAGTGCGGTCCCACACAGGTGAAGCGCACCATAAGAGGGTTAGCCAAAATGAAGCCCAAGTGAAGTTTCATTCCAAAACCAATTGGTGATGGGAGGAGTAGCCCACTAGGCTTATAAACTAGGCTCATTTACCCTATCAAATCAATGTGGGACAACTCACAAGTGACATTCCAACAAAGAAATAATCCCCTCAAAATATTAATCCTGTCAAAATTCTACACCAAGATCAAGCCAAAAAAACTGATATTTTTACCACATCACTCATTTCGAAATCACTACCGATTGCAATTGCTCACAGTTCACCATGTTATGCAAGAATGAAATCAAACATAAATAAAATCAAAGGTACTGAGATCTTCCAAAAGATAACCAAAAAATGTCACCTAATTCAGAATCTGCGAGGCGAATGTGAAGATCCGATCCGGCCGACCCGCTCGGGAACTGCTGGATATCGACCAAAGTCCCGGTTCTCCAGAACATACACCTAATCCCAACATCAAACCCGAACGCTAAACACGAGCAATTACTCAAGCACCGACCCATGCACTGGTCCTCCGTCCCCGACCACCGGTCCGAGTAGCCGGACATCTTCATCCTCGGGATCCTCAGAAACCCGTCCACCGTGCCGCCGTCGGCCGTGCCGTTACAGTTCAACGGAACCCGTCTAACGCACCCGCTGGTCCAATTACCCGAATCCCACTCCGACCGGATCCGCGGGTAGAACCCTTGCAGGCACGAGCAGATTGGGGAGCTCTGCGAGTTGCAGATACCGAAGGCGCCGCACACGCCGTACGAATCGCACGGGTTGCGCTGCGCCGAGCTGAAACTAGGGAGCAAGAGATAGAAAAATACGGCGGCGATTTGGAGTAGAGGGATGGGGTTTTTAGCCCGTATCATGATTGGTTTTCGCTCCTGAGGATGAGATAGCTGCAGGAAGCTCCTCCTTGAGCTACCATTATCGAGCCAGAAGCTTGTTTTACAGGTAAAAATGGTTGAAACCAGTAAAAGAAGAGATAAGGAAAGGCAAGACAAGTTGAGAGCCAAAGTTAACTGGGGAGGCAATTTGGTATTTTTGTTGCAGCCCTGGGGTGTGGTGTGGAGTCGACAAATTAGACCACATAGAATTCAAAGTCCAACATAGATTTTTTTCATTAAAATGCAAACGAATTCTGGTGCTCATTAATCACGGGGCTTTACTCTGTATCGGGATTGAACCTGTATTTTGTGTGGTGTGGGGCCATTATAGGTCTACTTTTTTTTTTTTTTTTTTTGGTACAATGAACCTTCCGGTTTCCGAATCCCCTAGGGGACCGACTAATCTGGAATCGAGCCGGGTAGGACCACAAGGGCGGCAAAGCTCTACCTCAAGTTTATAGGTCTACTTTTAAAACATTGATACACCGCCCGTGGGTCCGCGCTACAAAATTCAAAATTTAAATAAAAATTTTGAACTATGTGTACATTCTGGACTGCACCGGGCCGAGCCCAAAACCAGGAGTTGGATCTTACAGACTCACCGAGCCGACCTGAAACCAGCGAGTTGTCGGACTTATTTTATTTTATTTTATTTTACCTATAAATATTATGATTCCTCTTTATATTTTTGCACACATATTTTCCTCACTTTTTCAATTCTCTTATTCGCATCCCTTCTAGTTTTGGTTATCAAATATTAAGTATATTTAAAGCTCAATTTCATAAATTAAGTTACGAAAATGACTAGTTCTCATGGTCATGGAAGAGATGAGGCGATGAGTCCGACAATGGCTGGTGGACGACCACAAAAGAAAAAATGTGTAGCATCAATGAGTGGTAATCCATCGGTTTCTATACCATCACTTGACGACCACCGTGCCCCAAAAGATCTTGGTTGCCGATGAAATCGAGGGCAAGTTGTACACGACGATGAGACAACTACTACTCAAGTTTGTGCTTCGACGGGTTCTAGTTGACCTTTGATAACTTCTAAATGTGCAGGAGGTAACAATTATGTAATTTCGTAATAATATGACGGTTTTCTTAAAGTGTGTGTTCTTACACGATATTGTGCATTTTACGAATTATTATTGTGCATGACTTGAACTTTATAAAATTACATATTTACCTCAAGTACTAAAATGCAATATATTAAAGTTTATGAAATTGTAGATAACTCCCCAATGTTTATATACCCCCCAAATTAATTTTTGATACTGTGAATATTGATTATGTTCTAGAGGGCGAGTCGACAACGTCAGTGCCAATTCAGTTGAATGTCATGTCAGTGGGCTGGTGCAGGGTCTTTGCTGAGACTCGCGAGATGAGGGGAGAGGGTAAGAAATACTGGTGAGAGAGAGAGAGAGAGAGAGAGAGGACATCGGTTGAGAAGTAAATTTTTTGTGGAGGTGTGGCTGGGGGCGTCAGGTGGTGGGACCAACAGGTCTTGTGGTGATGGTGGCGATGGCGAGACTGGTTCGTGCTAGCCGCTGCGACGGCTGTGGTTGCAGTTGGTTGGTGGTGGCGGTAACGTTACGTGCTTGATCTCGCTGTAAATACCAGCGTGGTGGTTGCTGGTATGGTAAGCCACCTCGTAATTTGTGCATGCAGTTTTGAAAAAAAAAAAGATCGGAAGAGTAAAGTGCGCAATGTGTGTAAGAACAAAAAATAGAGGCAGAAGCGAAAATTAATAAATTTGTCTTCGGGTGCATCCCACTATCCCTCAGAGCTTTTTCATTAGCAAATCGGTTGCCTCCTGCAGTATATAACTTTGGAATTACAGGTAAAGGACTCCCTCCTAAGCCTACCACAATTATACTAGATCTTACCAATTACTTTCATGGCCACAACGTGGACTAACAACTATTACATGAATCCCTTCAAACTAACAATACCTAAAAATACAAAAGTCTTGTGCTTCAGTCTTTCAGAGATGTTAGAATACACAACTAAAATCCTGAATTTACAAGCTATAAAATATAATCAACAATTTCACGAACTCTCATATAATAGACTAACTCAATATGCTTAGTAGAGAATAATAAAACTCAGCTCTTATCTCCGGATTTCATGATCTAATGTATATAAAGAAAAGACAAATCCTAACTAGGCAAGGACACCTTAAGTTGACATGATCTTCAACATCCTTCCTTTAGAGCAATTCTCCTTGAAATCCATATATGTGATTTGAAAATCTTCATAATTGCATTTCCAAAATCGTGCAGGAAGACGACTTTCCTAAAATAGGAGATCTTCCAAATATAAAAAATTTTGAGGTGAATTTTTTCAAATCCTCCTTAGATCTTCTTCAAAACGTCCAAGATCCTTCATGTATGCGTAACACATCTTCTTATAATCCTTGTCACGCATTCCTTGTCCTACAATAGAGAGAATACTAATTATGATATATAATCACTCATTAATGCAAGTGATATATATGGTAAATAAGTACATGTAAGATATATATTATGTAATTATTTTCCTAATGATTAAGACTCCATAATACATACTACCTCCTTTTTAAATTAGATGTCGTTTTGACTTTTTTGATTCATCCATTTTGCTACGTATCTAGACATATTTATGTCTAGATACNATATTTTACAACTTGTAAACTATTTAAATATTAAAAAAAAAAATAACAAAACAGAAATGCTATGGAACCATCGGATGGTTCCCTTATGGAGCCATCCATAATTTATGTATTGACACGTGTCCAATGTGCATTTATTGCATGACACGTGTCAATACACTATTTGTTGATAACTATGGATGGGTCTATAAGCAAAACCATAATAACAAAACCATTGAGAAATGACATGAATCCAACAACCCAATTACTCCCACCAATATTAATGATTTTCCATTGAGAAATCTATACTTATATAATAAGGTGTACCATTTACGAAATTTAGTAAGTTGAAAAGTCAATACAATAAATGCATTACTATTTTGAGCAACATAATATAATATCATATCTATACTTACTAGTACAGAGCCCGTGCGATGCACGAGGTGCACAATTTTAAGGCTATTTATCCAGGCTTATAATTATATACATGAATAAAGAAAAATGTACGGGATATATATAGTACATGACCCGTGCGAAGCACGAGATATATTTATTTGTAGAATATTATATTATAAGATGCAAAGTTTATAATACGCAAGAAAATTGTACAATGTTCAATAAAAGTTTTATAATATTCAAGTAAAGTCTTAAAGTCTCTAGTACATTAAAACTACTGACAAAATAATATTTTAATCAATGAGTTTCCTTTCCTTGTAGCCAAATTGTAAATGTGATTTGAGGAGTACAACAAACCGATATATAGCTGATTTGCTTTTTTCATTGTAGTTTTTTTTCTTTTTTTTTTTATAATGAATTTAAAGATATTCTAAAATATAGCAAAAATTAATTTTTTTATTACAATTAGGAATTTTACTAAATATAACTCTCAATCTATGGTGTTAATCAACGTTTAAGTCTAAAAAATTAGAAATTTTTACCTCTTTTAATCAACGTTTAAGTCTAAAAAATAATAGAGTTATCATAAGTTTTTTTTCTACATCTTTTAAAACATTAAATATGAGCATGTTAGGGCTAGCTTGTAAAATAATTAATATATTATCTCACTAAAACATTTATACTAATAAAAATTTAATTTTAGCATATAAATTTATCCCTTGATATAAGAAAAAGTAACAGTTTTACTTATTGTTGTTCACCATATAATTTTTAATTATTATTTTATTATATAATAAAAAAAATATTGTTCAATAGTGTAGTAGAATTGTTAAAAAATTATATGATTTTTTTTTACAATATAGATTTAATATTTTTTTATGATTTGATAATATAAATAAATCTATACTTAACTTTGACAAATAAAACAAATAAATAATTTATTAAGTATTTAATGTATATACTAATAGGAATATATTTGGTATAATCAAATACCAAATATAATCAAATTATACTTACCTTTTTAAAATAAAACAAATAAATAAATCAATTAAATAAATAAAATATTATAATACCAAAATAGTAATGACATTTAATGCAGTTGACTTTTCTGGATAGTAAATGTAGTAAATAGAATCTCCTTTTATATAAGTATAGATTCTATAATACGGAAATAGTAATGCAATAAATGTCGTTGACTTTTCTTTATACTAAATTTGGTAAATGGTATACCTTTTAATATAAGTATAGATATAAAAACAGATTCTATTTACTACATTTACTATCCAGAAAAGTCAATTGCATTAAATGTCATTGTTATTTTGGTATTATAATATTTTATTTATTTAATTGATTTACTTATTTATTTTATTTTAAAAAGGTAAGTATAATAAAAATATTTTAATAATAAAAAAATCAAATACCAAATAAAAATGTACACTTTGACTTATTTGATTATATTTGGTATTTGATTATACCAAATATATTCGTATTTAGTATATACATTAAATACTTACTAAAGTATTTATTTGTTTTATTTGTTAAAGTTAAATATAGATTTGTTTATATTATCAAATCATAAAAAAAAATATTAAATCCATATTGTAAAAAAAAATCATATAATTTTATAACAATTTTACTACACTATTTAACAATATTTCTTTTTTATTATATAATAAAATAATAATTAAATATCATATAGTGAACAACAATAAGTAAAACTGTTACTTTCTCTTATATCAAGGGATAAATTTATATGCTAAAATTTAATTTTTATTAGTATAAATGTTTTAGTGAAATATATATTAATTATTTTACAAGCTAACCCTAACATGTTCATATTTAATGTTTTAAAAGATGTAGAAAAAAACTTATAATAACTCTATTGTTTTTTAGAATTAAACGTTGATTAACACCATAGATTGAGAGTCTATATTTAGTAAAATTCTTAATTGTAATAAAAAAATTAATTTTTGCTATATTTTAAAATATCTTTAAATTCATTAGAAAAAAAAAAGAAAAAAAAACTACAATGAAAAAAGCAAGTCAACTATATATCGATTTGTTGTGCTCCTCAAATCACAATCACAATTTGGCTACAAGGAAAGAAAACTCATTGATTAAAATATTATTTTGTCAGTAGTCTTAATGTACAATAGACTTTAAGACTCCACTTGAATATTATAAAACTTTTATTGAACATTGTACAATTTTTTTGCGTATTATAAACTCTTATTGAATATTGCATCGTATAATATAATATTCTCCAAATAAATATCCCGTACTTCGCACGGGTCACGTACTATATATATCCCGTACATTTTTCTTTATTCATGTATATAATTATAAGCTTGGATAAATAGTCTTAACATTGTGCACCTCGTGCATCGCACGGGCTCTGTACTAGTGCCGTGAATCCAACAACCCAATTACTCCCACCAATATTAACGATTTTCCATATTAGAGGCATTAATTTGGCGTGCACAATTTCAGACCAATCATTTGACACTTGAGATCCTTTTTATCTCAATATTTCCATTTTCTTTTCTTTTCCTTTCCGTAATCATTGCGTTGTACATTATGGTCTCTTATGTCAACTGGTGCCTTTTTTCCTCAATGGGACAATTGGAAGAAGCTTCAAAGATCCATCGGGTGAAAGTGGTTAAAGGATAAGTTTTGTTCAACTTGAAAAGGCAAAATCATATTGGATGCAAAGATTTTTATATTTATCTATTCAGTTAAAGATAATTATTATGTATGTAAAACAATAATATTCATTTTTCATAGATTTTTATATATCCATTAACCATTATTTAATAAGAAATTACGTATTTATCTACTTTAATCATTATATAATTATATTATATTCTTTCTCAATCACAAATTTGTTTTTCAAACAATTTTTCGCAGCCATTCGTTCTATTAATTTACTAAAATCCTATGTCTTTAATTTTTGCCCCCTTTTCATATGCTAAATTCAAATTTCTCCAATTTATCTCACCATATGATACAAGTCTAATTGTTTGTTAATTATATTTTTAATTAATATGTGGATTATTATAAATACAATATATAGTTTAAAAATATATAAATAAAAGTATAATATATTTTAGTATATGTATATAAATTTTTTAAAAGTATAATATATCCAGCATTTTATGACACAAAAATTTGTGTTTATCTAATTATTTTTAGGTGAATGTTGGGCACATTTAATGAACACAACAGTAATTACCGACTAATACCGAGCATAATTATGCACGCGTGCACATTGCGCACACTGTGCCTACACTTTAAAGGTATTTTTCACATGGGTATGAAATTTATATAAAAATAAATAAAATCGAAAACATCTTGATGTTTTCTATTGTATGGCTGCAAATAATACTTGATATGCATATATGTTCACATAGGCTGTTATCAAACCGAACCGTATTAACTTTAAGGTTTTCGAGATCGAGTTCTGACTAATTTTCGAGATCGAGTTTGATTCAACTAGTCTAGTAAAATTAGTATCTAAATATTTTATTTATTCATATACCTATCTTTTTTGAAAAAACAACAAATATGGACAAGAAATTAAAGGTAACTNAAAAAAAAAAAAAAAAAACCTCATAACTTCATAAGAAAATCACAAAAAAACTAGCATTTTCATATGATACTCTTTTGTCATCTGCCATCGATAACGGTTAGAGTGAGCTCGTTAACCGAGTATCCGGATTGGCTCGTGGGCCCGTGTGGACCGTGCCATTTCTCAGCAAACACAGGCTGCTCGGGCACTGGCAAGTCCACGATCTCACGCTTGAGCATGGAGACCACAGTTTGTATTGTGGGCCTGTCCACAGGAAATTCTTGCACGCACAAAAGCGCAATCTGAATGCACCTCACAATATCCGACCCGAAATCCGAGCTGGCTATGATGATGTCGTCCACAAACGCCAACCCATTTTGTTCGTTCCACATTTTCCACGCCTGAATATATTTCGATTCAAAATACGTCAGTTAATAATTTTCCGAGTGATATATAAAGAGGATCACTATTTCGAAGATCATTATAATATATAGTTGCGAATTTTTGCTTTCTTACGGTTCCTATAAGGCTCAAAGACCATTCTCGATTGTAATAACGCGTGTTCTTTTTGCCATTTATGATCTCTAGCATGAGCACTCCATAGCTATAGACATCCGATTTTTCTGAAAATCGGCCTTCCATTGCGTATTCAGGCGCCATATATCCACTGCGGATTAATTTCATAGCATTAATTATTATTAGTATTCATAAGATTTTATTACATTTATCATTCATTCAAAAATAAGAAAAAGAAATGTGCATTATTCTAAATCGACTTACTATGTTCCGACTACTCTTGCGGTATTTCCATGATCTTGATTGCCTCCGAATATTCTAGCCATGCCAAAATCCGATATTTTCGGGTTCCATTCCTCGTCGAGCAACACATTGCTCGGTTTTAGGTCTCGGTGGATTATCTTAAGCCTAGAGTCTCTATGAAGATATAAGAGGCCCCTCCCGATGCCTTCCATAACACTAAAACGCTTCTTCCAATCTAAAACCTTTCGAGACGCATGCGTAGGATCTGTAAAAAACCAGAAATTAAATACATAAATTAATAAAATAGAGAAAATTATATATGTTGAACAACTAACCGAAGAGACAAAAATCCAAGCTTTTATTCGGCATGTATTCATAAACGAGCATCTTCTCATATCTTTCCACACAGCAACCTAACAAGCGGACGAGGTTTCTGTGTTGAAGCTTTGAGATCACAATCACTTCATTCATGAATTCTTCCATTCCCTGTCCTGATGCTGCCGAGAGTCTCTTCACAGCAATTTCTTTACCGTTT